GCAGGGCACAGGCGAGGCTGCTGTTAGTGCAGGGTTGGGGAAGGGACGGAACCGCTCTGGTAACCCAAGAGGATGGCCAAGGTTTAACCTTCTGAGGGCATCTTGTTTGGAGCCCAGCTGTGTGCATTGATGAGGCCCATTTAAATATTTAGAATAATCAGCAAATTCATTTTTGGAATAGGAAATGCTTGTATGTTATTATTAATTAATGGATTTAAAAAAAAAAACTTAAACTGAAATTGAGTGAAGTCTCAGGCTTATCCCAACCCCAGCTTTTGCTTGACTCCCAGGAGAGCTTGTACTAGGTAGAACACTGATTGCCTGGAAGTGCTTGCCCCTTTGTGTCTGAGTATGTTTTGTGCAGATCCCACAGATATACCACATGTGCTTTCTGCATTCTGCTTCCTTTCATAGGCTTCTATCTGGGGGGGGGAATGCTCCACCTGCCCCGTTTAATTGCCTTGGGGTGGATGGTTGCAGGAAGTCGGGGTGGTGGGCTTCCATGCCTGTGCTGGGGTGCAGGGACAGAGCCTGGCACCAGATGTTTACGACACACTTGGATGACCTCTGGGAATGCTGCCTTTCTCTTGGACCTGTTGGTCCAGATTAGTGATTATTATTTTCAATAGCAATGTAAAACTCACTCAATCCAAAGAGAGTTCATCTTTATAGTAGGGGCATAGCTTTGATATTCCATCTGGTCTCAGTTAACATCCTTCCAGCTGTTCCTACACAGTTCCAATCAACGAATGCATGCCTTTTAACATCACCATTCCTAAGCATTTCCCTGTACTAACATAAGATGTTATCATTTTGATTTGCAATGGAAAAACCGTATCACTATGTTTTTCCATCACCCAAGCATCTATGGAGTTGATCTTTTTGCCAGAGTTCTCTTGCTGGCATTTAAATACAATGAAGAATGTGAAGTATGTCTTCTGAAAACTGCTGATGAACTCTGAGAATGCCTCAGCTCTCTGTGACTCTACATGTAGAGACTGAAAGCAGCATGAAAGTCTCACATCCCCTACCTCTGCTTCAGAAAACAGCCCACCCCAGCCCATCTTCGTCACACATGCCCTTCCTCAGAGGCTCTTGGCAGTGGAAAGTCTTAATAAACTATGTCAAAGGCCAGGAGCCAAAAATCACGCCCCAAGTGAGCCAGGAAAACATTCTCCTCCCAAGCCATGCCCTCTTCCCGCCAGCTCCGATCCCCCAGGCGCCTGGTAGAAAATCACTGAGCAAAACCATCGGGTAGCTTGTTGACTACCACTTCTGGGCACAGTATCCACTGAGATTTTTACAGAATCCAGTCAGAACAGAGTGCAGATGGTTCTCTGGGAGGTCGCCCTAAAGGCGAAACTTGAGCTTGGTGCAGATGTGGGTAACCAGAGTCACTGTCACAAAATGCAAAGCGTGGTGCTGCAAGGGACTGGCCCAGTCAGAAGACAGCTGTGGGAGGACTGGGACTGAGTCCCAGAGCACATCCCATGGTGAAGTAGAGTGAGACAGAGCTATTAGTCCTAGGTCCTGTAGAAGAGCTGAACTGAGCAACAGTGGGATCATCAGCCAAGGATACTGAGTTACAAGAGGATGGCAGAGTTCTGATGACAACTATGGCTGGGCATATGGGCTAAACACAAGCCCTAAGAATAACTGAAATATGAGTGTCTTCCTTTCTTTCTCCCTCCCTCTCTCCCTCCCTCCCTCTCTCCCTTCCTCCCTCCCTTCCCCCTCCCTCCCTC